GGTCAGTTGGCGTTCTACGCCAACCCGTATGCCCCAATTCAGAAAAAAGGTACATACTAATTTCAATGAAGTTGTAATGGTTCCCACACTAGTCCTTTAAGGTTTAACCAGTATGGGAGAGTCTGGAGAATAACAGAAAAATTAAATGGTAACAACCAGCAATAGAAATATGATGAACCAGCACTGAATAGCAAACATTTGTACTAGCACCAAGCAACAGAAACAAAACCGCTCTGGGCAGCATAACAGAACACAAGATAGCAGTGTGAATCAGCAGCACTAAAAAGAGCAGCTCACTGCTGCAAAAATACCACTGAACAGCAAGCAACAGATCACAAAACAGCATCTCTGCACAACACATATAGAGATTAGCAGCAGTATTAAACTCAGAGCAGCCTACACTCATTTTAAACACAGGGGAGAAGCACAGCTCATTTTAAACACAGGGGAGAGGCACAGCGCATTTTAAACACAGGGGACAAGCACAACACATTTTAAACACAGGGGAGAGGCACAGCGCATTTTAAACACAGGGGAGAAGCACAGCACATCTTAAACACATGGGAGAAGGACAGCTCATTTTAAACACATGGAGAAGCACAGCTCATCTTAAACACAGGGGAGAAGGACAGCTCATTTTAAACAAACACTGGGGAGAAGCACAACTCATCTTGAACACTGGGGAGAAGCACAGCTCATCTTGAACACTGGGGAGAAGCACATCTAATCTTAAATACTGGGGAGAAGCACAGCTCATCTTAAACACAGGGGAGAAACACAGCTCATCTTGAACACTGGGGAGAAGCACATCTCATCTTAAATACTGGGGAGAAGTACAGCTCATCTTAAACAAAGGGGAACGTATGCTAATTTAATCAGCTTTCTTAAAGAAAATGTGGATATATGTGTTTTACGTGATGTAAATATACAAAGTGAAGCTACATCCTATCAACAAATGCACCCATGTTCTCTTCCATGTAAAAAGTCAAATTGTTTAGTGCATACACATTGCCTGCAATCCACCAAGGCACAGACACACCAAATGACGCCAATCTATTAAATACAGTATGTTCTGGAGTCATTTCAGATATTCAATATAGTCAAGTTATTAGTTGATGTAAAACGGTCAAATGAATAAATTGCATTTCTGCAGCAAATGCCAAACAAAGTTGAGATATTACCATGGAAGCCAATAGAGTGATTGTGTTCATTGCTTCCCTTTTGCACCAGAATTGCAGTTCCGACATGTTTCCCAATATCGCTGATCTGTCATATGGCGTTAATCACTTCTGCACTAAAGGGTGAGGGTGTGGGTTTGATGTATATTGTACTCCTAGTTCTTCTATATACAACACTTGTTAACTCTAAAATTCCATTGTTTTATCTATTATTTCCTTCTGATATAAAAAATAAATATTGTGATATACAGCAAAACTTGGTGCTTAAATTTATACGTATTTACTTATATCTACAGTATATAGATGTAGAGAATCATGCTTAGTTTACCCACCAAACTGTGAATTCTTATAAGCTACCTACTAAATTAATTTGATTGTCAGTTCACATCAACTATTCAAATATATCCTTACTATTTCCTTCTGAAATATGATCCAAGATTTAAAATGCAACTCGAGTGAGTCGGAAGACCAATTTATTTTTCATTGCGTGTTATAAAAAGCTAAGACATCAGTTTTTAACTAATTGGTTAATTTATACACCAAATATGTGAGTTACTGTATCTACATTCTGGTCCAGCATGGGACTAGCATAAAGATTATAAAGAAATTATTAATACCTGTGGAACTTTATGTTATCTCTCTCTCCAGGGCAACAATTAGTTTGCATGGAAGATTGGGTTACATTGCTAGTTATTTGTAATTCTCTTGATCTAGACAAGCTAAGTGTTTTGTATTTTTTTTCTATTCTAAGGTCATAAAGATTTTATGAAAGGTCTGTTTTAGTATTAATAAGGTGAAATATGTACAGGAAAACACTCTTTTATTTCAACTCTAACATAGCCATTAATGGTTCTTATGTACTTCCTGGAGCAACCCCTGACTCCTTAGTAGATGTAAACCTCATGATTATTACAAGCTCCAACAAGTAGCTCCCGGTCTATTTACTATTGCCTATGGAGTGCCCCCTTGCTCTTTAGGTATCCAGAGCTCATAATAAGCTTCTACTAGCTTTATTAGTATGTCTTTATGTTTCTTCCACAATCACATGAGACATCCACTGGCTCCATAGAAACTTGGTCGGTCACAGTTATGCATCTTCCAACTTCATAAGAGGACCCTCGGCTTCTCACAGCAACCAAGCATTGAATCATTAGCTTCTTACAGTTTAAACGAGACTTGTGCATTTTGATACAGACAAATTGCCATTTATCTGAATTTACGCCAATTGCTGTTTGGTGAATTCTGTATCTCTGCCATACGGACATATAACTCAGCAAATGACCAGCATTATGGCAGATTTTTCAGTATTCTGAATTTCAACTCTGCTGCAAAAAAGAATAAAAGAAGATGATTGATTGGAAAAGAGATGATTGATGACTTGGGGACAGCCACAAATTGCTGATTTTATTCACAGATTAAGCGAAAATTGACTTGATGTGTGAACAAAATGGTGGTAAAATGTGTCTATATGTGTGCTAAAAATGTATACACCCTGTTCCAAATTATTTTGCAAATTCTATTTAAGTGTCACAAAGATTAAATATTTTATTTTTCAGTTTAACTCATGGATGGCATTGTGTCTCAGGGCTCTTTTGATCACTGAAAACAATCTCGGACACCTATGATAATTAGATTGCCAGGTGAGCCCAATTTAAGGAAAAACTACTAAAGGAGGGTGTTCCATATTATTAAGCAGAGCAACATTTTCATCCAATATGGGGAAGAAAAAGGATCTGTCTGCTGCCGAAAAGAGTGAAATAGTTCAATGCCTTGGACGAGGTATGAAAACATTAGATATTTTATGAAAACTTAAGCGTGATCATCACACTATTAAGAGATTTATGGCTGATTCAGAGCACGGACATTAAGGTGTAGAGTCCTCCAGAGTCTTGCAACTGTGCATAAACCTTCTATTCAGCCACCACTAACCACTACTCACAAGCAGAAACGGCTGCATTGGGCAGAAAAATACACGAAGACTAATTTTCAAACAGTCCTGTTCACTGATGAGTGCCATGCAACCCTGGATGGTACAGATGGATGGAGTAGTGGATGGTTGGTGGACAGCCACCCTGTTCCAACAAGGCTGTGACGTCAGCAAGGCGGTGGTGGAGTCATGTTTTGGGCTGGAATCATGGGAAGAGAGCTGGTCGGCACCTTTAGGGTCCCCAAAGGTGTAAAGATGACACTGTAAAGTATGTGGAGTTTCTGACTGACCACTTTCTTCCCTGGTACAGGAGGAAGAACTATGCTTTCCGTAATAAAATCATCTTCATGCATGACAATGCACCATCTCATGCTGCAAAGAATACCTCTGCATCAATGGCTGCTATGGGGAGAAAGTCATGGTGTGGCCTCCATCCTCCCCTGACCTCAATCCTATTGAGAACCTTTGGAGCATCCTCAAGCAAAAGATCTATGAGGGTGGGAGGCAGTTTACATCCAAACAGCAGGTCTGGGAGGCTATTCTGACATCTTGCAAACAAATTCAAGCAGAAACTGTACAAAAACTCACAAGTTCAATGGATGCAAGACTTGTGAAGCTGCTATCAAACAAATGGTCCTATGTTAAAATGTAACGTGACCTGTTAAAATGTTTAAAAAGTTAAAATGTTGTTAGAGGTTTGATTGAAATAGCTTTTGATTTCAGTAAATATGCTGTGTGGCGAAATTAACATGGTCCCTGAGAGGTTTGGCCCTTTGGCCCTTTAAATACAGTATTTGGGCATAATGGATCTTTATTGTGCTGCTACTGGCCCTTTAAGAACTGTATCTGGGCATTTTGAGACTTTTTGGGACAATCCCCCTTTAAGACGGTGTCTCCATTGTCCCCAAACCTTTAATATACTGTGTTCCTGGCTTTCTCCCACTTGGTTCAGTAAATGGGGCTTAGTGAACCAAGTATTACACAGGCGGACCACCCAGAAGTGGAAGCGTGCAGGCAATTTACCTCCCAGGCTGGGAGCCTGCTGTAGGTAAATAGCCGACCGCTGGGTCTTTGTTCTGTCGAACGCGGTCACTGAACTGAAATCGGCAGCACATTTCAACGAACACCACTGACCCTTACCTTCTCCTCCACTGAGTTTGCAGCCGCAGGGACTAAGTCCCGTTCGGCGATGGGACTTAGTCATTTTTTCAGTGTGAAATAAACTGACCGCACAGCCCAAATCTATGGAACTGTTTTGGGCATGAAAATGTGCTTGCGGTCGGTCATAAAGGACTTCCAGCTAACTTTTTAACCCCTGCAAGGAATTGGCTGAATTTTGGATATGTGTGTAATTAAAGTGTGCTGAGTATTAATATGTATTATGAAGATTGAATGTGTATATATAGATTTTTTAATTCTTTATTTTTGTTGTGCATATGTGTAGTACAGGCAGGCAAGAGGTGCCCCAAGAGCAGTCCTCCAGCATTTCCCACGCTCAACATGCGGGGCCCAAGATGAACAAGCACATTTTATATTAATGACAAGTATAAACAATCGATTGTAGAAGTAGCTATATGGTAAATTTAGGCTGGGTCAATGCGCTGACTAAGCTTTAAATGCTCTAAATAATGCTGGTGCCACATATATATTATGGAAGTAAACTAAAGCTTTATGATTAAATAATAATCGTGCATTGGTTAGCAACAAGCTACAGTTAGGTAAATCGCTTTAATGCTATTATCCCCCCAGCCGACCGGGACCACCCATGCTGCCTCTGCGGGGAGCCTTCTTCTTGGTGGTCCAGAGACCTCACACTCAGTGGGAGTCCCACTATCATTCGATACCTGCTCTGCCCTATCTGTGTAACATGGAGCGAGTGTCCACCAGAGCAGGCATCAGGACACAGTCCACTCATGCTGCGCTGTAAGGTTCTCGCTGGTTCCTCTGAGTCTGCAGCTGTGCTTCAGTATGCTTGTCCCTCTTAGTTCTCTGAGGGTCGGCGTCAGCCGTGAAGGGGAGCTTGGTGTAGTCGGCATGTGGTTGTTGGTTCCTGGGTGGTTTTTGTTGCAGGCTCGGTGTGGGGTGAGTGGTTGGTATGTCTTTGCGCTCAGTCCGTTCAGGTGGCAATAGTCGGTGCGCGGGTTACCTCCATCCCCCCTGTGCCGCTGTTGTTGTCGCTGATTCAAATGGCTGCAGGGGTAAGTGATAACAATCTCGCTTCTCGGTTTAGCCGGGTCCGAAGACAGGAGCCGCATTGTCAGCCGTGGGCACTGGTGCTGGGTGCTGGTCCTCCCTTCGTCACTTGCGCACATGGCGCCCGCCATCTTGGACCTAGCGGTCTGACCCCCCAGCTTCGGCCACGGCATCCTGGTCAAGGTCTTAGGGTGAGGACCGGGATCACCCCCCCGGTCCATAGGGGGAGGAACAGGGCCGGGTCCGCTCAGATTTGTGCCCCAGGTTGGGTACTGTATTGCAGGATAGTGGGGCAGTGGCCGTCCACCCCACTCACTGCCGGAGAAGACCTCAGGTAGTTCAGCGAAAAGTTCTCCTCCAGGGGACTGTAGCTCGATGAGCCAGCCTCTCCCTGGATCCAGCAGTCCCTATGCTTTAGGCATCATTGCTGTCGGTCTGCTTTTCGTTTTAAAGGCATGGTTTTTAGTCGTTTTTAATGCGGTGTTGCAGGAGCGCTGCTTACCTGCGACCATCCAGCTCGGCGGTCCGCCCTGCCCCGCCCCCTGAATGTGTATTTTTAAAGTTACAGTACATGTGTAAAAACGCAGAGGGGAGAATTTGTGTGTAATTGCTGGGAGTGTTTTACTGTAATGTACTTGTTTTATTGGTTGTTTTACAAAACCCTGTGGGCGGTACTATGTGTGTAGAATGGGCATAAAAGCAGAGTGTTTGATTAAAATCTTCAGTTCTTCTTCACCCTTAATCTGAGTCCTGTCTCTTATTTGGGGAATTGGCTACAAGGGATTGCTATGCTCGTCATACTCTCTTGCTATAATCACTGAGCTCTTGTAAGAGCTGTTCTGTTACTGCTACGCTCTCTGGGGAAAGAGAGGTTCACCCACTGGAAGCTGGATCCTGGCCTGGGCTCCAGGGTGGGTGAAGACGGCGAGACCCCAGCACAGCTGCATCGCTGGAAGTGGGGTCTGCAGTGCTGATGGTGTCGGTTGGAGTGCTTGGAGTCCTCAGCGAGCACTAGGAGCATCGATTGGTGAAGGTACTCAGTCGGAGTGCCAGCAGTCCGTCACATGCTACAAACACAACAAATTAAATGTTTCAGTTCCTTATAACCTACAAAGTGTTTTGAGACTTACTGTGCGTAATAATTTGGAACAGTGCATTGTAAGTTTTTTATGTTTAAAAAAATACTGTTATCATTAGGAGGTTTGTTCAATAAAATTTGAATTGTACTCTTAATAGTTGATAATATGAGAATTATGCTGACTGTTATTTACATCAATTATTTAGGTAAATGAGAAAAATATAATTTACATAATAATTTGGAACAGGGTGTACATAATATCCTCTTGAGATCCAGCCCATTAACTTGTGTCCTCTGTACTGGACATTTCATTCACATGCACCTCCTTTTATTCTTTTGAGCTACTCTATCAATCTCTGCTGTATTGTAAAGAGGACATCCTGGTCTTTCCAGTGATATCTCATGTGATAGGGTGCTGGGAACTTTGGGAGACATTTTTTACTCGGTTCCCAGGAGGATGTAAAATATATGTTATGTATATAATTTGCAGTACACTGAATGGCCCTTTTTCTTGACTTTTTTTGGTATGTTAGAATATTTCACCAACTATTTTTCCATTGATGAAAGTCAGCCAAAACAAACTCTCGCACAAGTCTGATTTCAACCATCCATCCCAAGCTCTTTACAATGTTACATACTGCACATGCATTTCCCCAAACACCTCGTACAAGTAATCACAGTCTACCTACAACATTGAATGAGTCTCCGCTGCAACTTTCTACAAAACAAAAGGCGGCACCCTAAAAACTCCCATAAGATTCCACCATGATCCTCTTAATCACCCATATAAGCATTGTTTCAGATCTACAACTATCTCTATTGCTTATCCATTTCAACATGCCCTTCATCTAAAGATTTGTGCTGTTGTCACACATTATTCAATTGTAATATTTAATACATAGTTTAACAGATGAACCAAATAAATATATCTGAATTCTAGTAGAAAAGCTAAGACAGATTTTGCTACTTACGTTTCAAAGTTTGCTCAGATATAATTAGTAGTTAACAAGCATTTTATGGTCATGCAATAAATGCAAAGTCTTTTGAATTATGACACAAATTAATGGATTTGGTGGGTCTTCTATTTATTTTATCATTGCAAAATTCAATTAATTGGATTTATACAGCCAGCAAACGTATCTTGAGCTGAACACATGCTCTTCAGTGCTTAACCTCTGTCTGTAGCACATCTGTCGATACATCTCTTTGATCCAATAATCATGGTTTCTGTATACTCTGTGTTAACATTCACCCAATCCTTCCCCACATCTAAGGATACAAAACAGACATGTATATATGCAGGGTCTATTTGGAATTCAGTGACTACCATATTTCTCCACCTGAAATGTGGTCCCTGATAGTTGAACTGCACTAACCTAAAGGATTTTCAAAAGCCTGTCTTGAACTCTGCGCAGATTGATATGACATCTATTAGTGATTTATGTCTTGTGAAATTCCAGTGGCAATTGGTAGGTTCCTGAGCTTAGGTCAACACAGACCGAAAAGCAGCCCACACCTGATCTTTAGTGCTACTGTATTCAACCTTGTTGAATTTGTAACAACAGAAAGTGGGACAAGGATGCTGTGTTTTGAAGCTAGTACCATATATATTGGTTTTTCATTTCATAATGTTTGCTACACTTGTTCCTAGTATTTGGAGAAGGAAATTGTGAGTTCCCAGTTATGTTAGTAATATGTTTTACTGTTTCACTTAGTTGCTTTATGGGGATCTTACATATATACTCATGATTCAGAGGCACAACATTTGGAGTGCCAAACATTGTCTACTCCTGTTCTAGAATATCATCAATCAGAAGATTATCCACTCCACATGTGGTTATCTGCAATATGTTTGTGAGTGTCTACTATCCTAACTTTCTTTTTTGATAAGTCTCTTGATGTACTTCACTGTTATATCTTTATCCCACCACATTTATATGCTGTTACTCCTTTGAAAACATATGTTTAAAGGGACACTACAGGTACCAAGACCACTCATCTCATTGAAGTGGTCTGGGTACACTGACCCTGTCCCCTTAGCTCTACAATGTAAAATATTGCAGTTTCAAACACAATAGGGTATATATTTTTCTACACTAGACTTGTCCTATCCAAGTCGAAAATGTCTCTGTTTCAGAGGATTGGTATATAATAATTACAGGGAAAATATACTCAATGATGATACACCAAGTCAATGTCTATGCCTCCAATTTAACAGAAAACTATTTCTGGAACTAATTAACAGAACATACACTCTCACTTCCCCACAGTATAGTTTTGCGGGAGAGACTTTAATGTGGTCCTCTGTCCTGCATCCAACAGGAGCTCTAGACAAGGGACAATAAGATCTCAAGGAAAAAAGTGCAAGACAAATTACTAAATCAATTTATACAGTGCACAGGATTAATAGATGCATGGAGGGTGCAACACCGAACATCGAATACACATTTTTCTCTGCCCCACAATCCACATACACATTCATCTATTCCTAACAAATGGACTAGGCATGTCTAGGGTAAACAGGACAGAAGTCAACTGTATAACATGGCCAGTTCACGCCAGCACATCCTTATACCTCAGGGAACTAAGATTAACTTCACCATGGAACTAGAAGCTAAATAACTCCAAACTAGAAGATAAAAAGATGACCATAGTAGAATACTTTAACATTCTCTAAGGCCCCACAGTGTGGGCAGCCCATAAGGCAGTAATAAGGGGTCATAGAAATAGCCATCAAAAAAATAAAATTAAATTGATATGTGAACAAGAAGCAGCTCTACGTAAAGCAGTTCAGAAACACAAAACCAATCCAACAGAAGCACAACTCAAAGCTGAGAGCACTTATGCAATCTCTGAAAGACACTTTCCTGGACGATATAGCCAAAACAATGGTGTGGACAAAACATATGTACTATGAGAAGTTCAGAAAAGTGGACAAAATACTAGCTCGAGCCCTGAGGCCCAGGGGTGGATACAAACCTATTGTGGTTATAAAGATTAGGGAGAAAGGGGTAACACACAATCGGAAGACATAAGAAAATCCATTACAGAGTACTACTCCTAAATATACAATCACTTGCATGATCACACTGAACACAACAACATCTACAAGAAGACCATATGGACATGCCCAAGTACAGGAATGTGTAAAATACATCAACCAGAGAAGTGGAGCGTGTTAGGTAAGGTGTACTATAGAATACACCTACCCTTTGTTGGGACATATGGATTATGCTGTAAAGTGGAGAAAAAAAAGGGACTAATAGTGTAATAACGTCAGGGATATAAGTGGACTGTAGGTGTTCAATGGTCCAACTCACATGGGAATGAGTCTTCCAAGTAAGCTCAGCATAGGCAAAAGTGTACTAGGTGACACAATCCCCTCTTCTGTCCGCTCAAATATGGTATATGAAACGAAAAAGAAGTTGGGAAACCAGTAGACTTCTGGTGTAGCATGTAAGGTCCAGGAGTTGGCAGATGCTTTAGTCCAGGTCTGGGAGGAGATCCCTCAGGAGACCATCCGCCACCTCATCAGGAGCATGCACAGTCGTTGTAGGGAGGTTATACAGGCACGTGGAGGCCACACACACTACTGAGCCTCATTTTGACTTGTTTTAAGGACATTACATCAAAGTTGGGTCAGCCTGTAGTATGTTTTTCCACTTTAATGTAAAGAACAAAGTATTTCAGAAGAATATTTAATTCATTTGTTCCCTTTATTTTTTTGAGCACCATAGGATATCCCTTAACTTTGGTGCTCCCCTATAAATAATTGTTAGTGTATTTGGGAGTTCCTTATTTAAAACAGCATCAGTATTCAAAAAATACAGTTAAAATTACTAATAAAAGCAATCTTACTTTGGTCATTGGTCTCCTTTGGTGGTTTATATTCAAGTAATGTTATTCTCTCCTTTTGAATTACCTCCTCATAAGCTTTTTCTAAAAGTGGTTCCTGACAGCTCTTTTTTCTAAAATCATTAATGATTTTCGGGGATTGTTCTTTAAATACTTCCTCATCTGAACAATTTCTTCGAATTCGCAGGAGTTGGGCTT